ATATATATGAGAGAGAGAGAGAGAGAGAGAGAGAAAATCTAGTTTGTGACTGCTTTTTCTACATCACAATTGGGAAGAAGAGGCTACAAACACCTCGATGCACTCGTCAGATGAAACACACACGCACTTGACAAGCTCCTGCATGTCAGCGAACCCTTGCATCATGCCCTTCCTTATCAGTCTCCCTTGGCTTCCTTCTCCTTGGGCTTGTCGCTCTTCTTGGTCTTCACGAAGCAGAAGCAGGAGCAGCACGGGCACTGAAACAAGAACTTCATGGCTTGGGCCTCAACTCTCAGGCGCAGCACTCGCAACCACGGCTCTCCCACCTTATCATCTCTTTAAATCGACTCGCATCGACTCCATTCCCGTCACTCTCAAAAGTCACCTACTCTCCTATTCTTCCAGTTAGTGGGTCATGGCCATAAATAAAAAGTAATCTCCATACGCACCTCAAGAAAAACTAATGGAACACTTTGGAAGCAGCTCGGCTGTCAGATATGACGTTTTGAATCAAGTGGCAATTCTTTTCTCCAGCGCCAACAGCTGCACCAGCAAGCATGCTAGATCGATACTGTTCATCTCAATATCTTTGGCATATATGGCATGGCTTTCTCGGGGAGCCCACGGATAAGAGATCATGTCGACCTGAAAGCTTGTGGAATGGGATGCTTGGAGTGTTTGATTGAGCATCTTTAATTGACTTCGTTGTTTACACTACATATACTGGTAAAACACATGCAGACACACGAGCGCAGGTCACGTAGAATTCAGAAACATATCATCCTCTCAGTTGCCTTCGTTGAAAGATGCTGTCTCACTACCTAAACTTGTTTGGTTGATATCTTTCTTTATGATAAGGTTCCATGGTTGGGAGAGAGGGAGGAGGGAGAAGGCTACCACTGACCGCCGAAGAGGGAGTGGCGTGGGGTGGGTCAGGTCAGGTCATGCGTATTTCCATTTCCTCTTCCCTCAGAATACTCCTCCGAGTTTCAGTCAAGGGAGGATAAATCGGCCGGCACAATAATCATGCACATGGGTGGCTTATCATCGGTACGATATGGATATGGTAGCGTCCAAGAATCCCATTCTGCTCTGCTTCGACTTATAATTGCATGTTGTTATGATAGCTAGTCTCGTGCTTGAGCAGAGGATAGCGCTATCTTCTTTGGACGAGCACTGTTTTGGTGACTTCATTTTGAGTAGCTTGCTGGAAATCCTCCATTAGCACCTGTTTCTTATTGCTTCACAGGCCCCCTTTGGATAATTAATGCACGATCTCCTTCATGTAAAAGATCACCAACATTAATTCGACTTAGATCCAAACAAAATCTTCAAAAAATTCTTACTAAAAGCTTCCAAACGATCAAAATCAACATGCAAAACAATAACAAGGGGGTGAAGTTGAGAGATAATTTGGGTTGATCATATCACAATACAATGATTTAAAAAACATTAACAATTAGTAACGGTTGCAATGCATTCGTGTTCCTGTTTATTATTGGTATATATACGATCACCACTAAACAAAATAAATTCATACGACTCCTCAAAGCGAAACAACCTAAAAGGTTCAGGTTAATCTGAATGTACTGAAGGCATTGCTTTCCCTGATTGATTCAGTAAACGGTTGATGCAACAAGGCATCACTTCTCCTGACCATTCAGCACAGCTGATGCACGACATTTTCTGAAGGTGGCAAACTGGATAGCACAACGTCTCCAGGAATACCTGATTATTATGCACGGACAAAGTGATGATTCCAACTTAGTATCTCCTCTAAGCTACTTAATTATCATCCCTAAGAGCAACATGAGTGGGATCCAATGGATCAGGGTCTTGGATGGGGACCAACGGCAGCTTTCCACCGTAGATTTCTGGGAGCTGGTTATCATCAATGTCCTCCAGCAATGTGGCTCTTAGGTTCTTATCCTCAACGAAAACAAACTGTACAAAGGCAATGTCATTTCTACGGAAGGATCAAGAAAGAAGCAAATGCAATCTAAAGCAAGAAAATATCTTGATGTATCGGTAAGAGACTAAATTTCTTGAGCAAATGTGTTGTAAATCACGATAATTACTATTCCCATGTAGAAATGGAGTGAGAAGGGGCACGGAAGCTCTGAAGCAATTACCTTCTTCCTGGTGTTTTTGTCAATAAATGGGTATATGATCTTCCAAGCCTTCATGAAAAGATAAGGTACATGGACTAGAAAGACTCTGCCCAGTCTCTCTGGATAATAGTTCTGCAATGTCATCATGATTGAGAGAGTGCCGTCATTGTCTACCAGAGCAATCAATATATGTGCAAACTTGTTGGTTTCCATAGACATGTACAAAAATGAAGAAACCATCACCATAGGTAGATGATGAACCGGGAATAACTTGCTTTATGGTCGATACAGAAAGCAACCTTCATAAAACATTGTCCCTTGAAGAAAATATAGACCTTTTAGCAGTTTTGTTCATATAAGAAGTTTTCTGGACGTGTTGGCATCACTGAGGAATGATGTTTGAGGGCCTCATCTGAACTATCCCAATGTACTAGTGGAAGATGACTATCAAAGTAACCACTACTTGACTAACTTTTCTTTTCTACCTTACCATGTTCAACATTTTGACCGAATCTTCAATGTTCTACATCAGTTGACTCAGCAACAGATGCAAACTCATTTTGAAATTGTCCCAAAGTTGTGTTGCATGGACAATTTTCCAATTCAGAGATGTCTATACAACAATGTCAGTGCTTGATCTATTTTTGGCATTTTGGATGTTAGTTATTATTCATTTCCAGTTAATTGTGCTATCATCAACATCAACCACATTATAGTTAATGCAAAATTAGTTGCATATCACCTTTGGGTCGAACACCATCTTGTAGTTGCTTAGTGTGTTCTCTGCATGCAACCTTGAATGATACCACTAATCATTACTGTCATGCAAAGTAGTAAATGTTCATTTTTTTAATCTCAAGATTTAATCATATTTAAGAAAAATAAATCTAAAGTTTGGATTAAAAGTTGAAAATTCATATTAACATTTCCAGGAAACAGAATAGGTATGTAAAAATAATTCAGATGTACAAAATTTCAAGTTAACAAATCAAAATAAGAATAACTTGGAATTTTGTGGTATCTATGTGAACATTTAAACTGCACAGGTATCATGGATATATAAGTACACATGTACTGACATGCATATCTTATATGCATATATAAGTTCCTTTTAGGTTTATCTAAATAATAACAAGCTAGGAGAAAGAAAGATAAGAAAAAAAATAAAAGAAAAATAAACTGTTCCTCAATAGGATCCCTTTATTTTCTTAGCTTTGAATAAATATTTTATTAAGTTGATTTAGTTCAGAGTCGAATATAGGTTTATTTGATATTTATTTATTTATTAAGAATCCAAATCCCGATGGACTTTGGGTGGAACTCTATAAATAGGGATATATCTATTTTTTTCAGCAATCAATGAAATATTATTCCAATCTTCTGACAATCCCTAGGAGGTCAATCCCCTCAAAATGATCATCCCCTTTTCTTCTATGATAAAATCCCAAAATCTTATCATTTGGTATTAGAACAGCGATCCTCGATGTTTCCATTGTAATTTCTCATATCACTTTATCGTCTCAGTCATTATCATAAAAAAAAAAAAAGGTTAAAACTGACAGTCATGCCTAAGCAACCACGCCCCATCTCGCTCGAGCGAGAAAGGGGTGCCTCATCCCATCTTCCCTCGTAGTCATCCTTAGCTATGCCTTCGCCGGAGACGGTGCTGCCAGTGTCCCATCCCGTCGCAGCTGCATGATCGCTTCCCAGCCCTCAGCAATCACTATTTCTCGTTGCTCCTAACCCTCAACGTTCCCACCCCTCAGTTACGCCTCATCTCGTCATTGCTTCTTGACCAGCGATCATCACTGTTGCTGCTTCCCGACCAACGACCACCATTGCCCGCCTCCTAACCGCAACCCTGCTGCCTCCCCTTGGGTCACAGCCGCAACTGCTCGACCATCCCTCCTCGCGACAACCGAAATAGGGCAACCATGATCGTCGCAGCCATCGTTGTTTCCCCAACTGCTCACGATTCTTTGGCATTGCCAACATCCTCTTTTGCAGTGCGATAGAAACAGAGCACTCTCTGTTGTAGCACTCGTCGGTCCCTCTGTTGTTGCAGCAGCCGATTGCCACCACCGCTGCCTCTCGACCCTTGTCAATGCTGCCTCCCAGCCACGCCCTCAACACTGCCTCGGCCGACGCCAGCCTCCCAGCCTTAATAACAGCTTCGGTAGCTACTCCTAGCTACACCAATATAGCCTCAACCCTAGTTGTTCGGCGATCGCTCCCCTTGGATTGCAATAATAGTAGCCATATACGCAACCACCCTTAGTCACTCCCCACGCCGATGCCACTGCCTTTAGCTCCGCGGCTCTCACCCCACGTAGCGATAGAAACCAGACAACAACCTTTCCTCCTTGCAACAACCGTAGCAAGCCTTTCGACATCCACTTCCTCGGTAGCTTCACGTCCCAACTACATCCACAATTCTATCTCGGGCCAACGTCACCTAAAGTTACAATAAATAGAATAGTGCTGATGCCCTTGGCCAAACTTCAAAAATAAGAACTGGGGATTACATAATTGCAGTCTTATGCAATGGCTACCAACAACTCAGTGAAAGCCTAAATTGAAGCATTGGAAACTATAATTGAGAACCAGTTGTAAGAAACTCTTAATGATTTTAAAAAGAGTCTATTGGAGATCTTTAGTAAGTTTTAACAAGATAAAAGTTCAAATCTTACATTGAACCGATCTGGAGACACGGAGAAAAGGAACCAAGAACAAGATACAAGCTATTCACACATGAAGGTGGAATTTCCAAGATGGGAAGATGGAGATCCGATCAGTTGGATCTATAGGGCAGAAAATTTTTTCTGTTTTTATAGAACTCCAGAAGAATCCAAGGTGGAAATAGCTTTAATCCAACTAGATGGAGATACAATCTAATGACATGATTAGTATGAAACTTACCACGAGGTCCCCTTATGGGAGCAATTCAAAAGAGGACTTCTCATTCGCTTTAGACCATATGAATATGAGAATGTTGATGGACAACTCACAAAAATTCATCATATTTCTATAGTACTAGAATATCAGAGTAGATTTGAATGATTGTTAAATCAAACCAGAGATTAGTCCGAACGATAACCGATGGGAACATTTATTAAAGGACTTAATCCAGATATCTGGTATGAAGTCAAAACTTGCCAACCTTGGACTATGACAGATGTAATTTCGTTTGTATGTTTGTATGAGAACAAAATCAGTAGGGAAAATTATCGAAATAGAAGTGATAATAAACAGATGATCAGCAAGCCACCTGCTGTTAGAACTCTAGCTTGGAGAGTCCTAATTGAGAGGGACATTCATGTAAAACTGTTAGGACTCTAGCTAGGAGAGTCCTAATTGAGAGCGACATTCTGTTAGGACTCTAGCTAGGAGAGTCCTAATTGAGAGGGGCATTCATGTAGGAGGTTTTTTCTTATAGAAGAATTAGGAGTTGTAAGGGAATAGGAGTCTTGAGTAGGAGTCCTATTAGGAGTTGGTTAGAAGTAAGAGTTTTAAGTAGGAGTTTTATTAGGAGTTAGGGTTTAGAAGCCCTATAAATAGCCATGTATTCCTTCTCTTTTCATAAGCAATAGATGAATCTTTTCTGCAGCCTTTGAGCAGCAACTTGGAGGGAGGAACCCCTATAGAGTTCCAAGGAGGCCGATCCCCTAAAGAGATCAACCCCAAGTTTAGAATCTGCAAGGGTTCTAACACCTGGTATCAGAGCAGCGTTCTTGGCATCTCGCTGCCCTTCCACTGCCATCTATCAGCCCTCCACAACCACCCAAAGCAATTCCCACAATTGCTTAAAAGATCGTCGCCGAATTCCGTCATCATCTCCACCACCGCGGATCATCCTTTGATCTCCCCGTGAATTGCAACAAGTTCTGGTTTCCTACCTTACTGTTGCTGCAGTTTAGTTATCCTTATTCGAAAA